CCACACACCGACCCACACCCACCACCAGCAGCGGGACCCCCCTGCTCCTCTGCCCACCTTTCCCCCAGGCGTGCCCCCCTCGGCCCCTGCCGTCTTTTTGTTGGGCATCGCACCTTCCCCACCGTCCGGGGGGGCCACCCACGACCCCTGAGAACATACCCGACAGATTCTGTACGCAAAGGGGCTGCCATGGACAAGCGTTCCCGGCACAAGCCGTAGCATGTGGAAATTGGCACTGCGAGCGTCAAGTAGTCGGGTCTGGCTTCCAGGGAGCCTCCTCAATGCCTTAAGCGGGCTCACGGGGTTCTCTTGGGACCCTTCGTGGATTTCTCGGGTGTCTGCTGGAGGCCTCTTGGGGCATGTTAAAGGTATTTGAGGCCATCTCGTGGGGGGCGCCCCATGGAGCCTCCTCGAGTTCGCCCTCTGGCGCCCTTCTTGCGGCCCTCTGTGGGCATTCCTTCTCCGATTTCTCGTCCCCTCTCTCCCTCCCTTCTCCTCCTCCTCCTTCTCCTCCTCCTTCTCCTCCTCCTTCCCCCTCTCTTCTGAGCAAGATTCATGGCACGCGTGCCACTTGTTCTTGATCCCCCTCTTCGTAACAATGCCTCTCCCAGGACTCGCACATTGTTACGTTTTAGCAGAAAAAAGAAATGGCATGTCACTAACCGGGGCCCCTGGCCCCCAGTTTACAACAACAGCGGCTCCCGTCGAATACTCCCTCAAAGTTATTCCCAAATCGCGCTCTCGCGCAGGACTTCCTCACAATGTGTACAGGAATCGCGCTCTCGCGTGGGACTTCCTCGCCATTTATTCAGACGCCGCGCCCTCGTCGACACTCAGGAGTCACGCTCTCGCTGTGGATTGCCTTACGGCTTACTTGGGAATCGCGCTATCGCTAGAAAACTCCTTGCGATCCATGCAGGACGCACGCTTCAGCAACCCGCCTGCTCGACCTGGCCGCCTGGGCCCGCCTTCCCGACCCGCTCATCAGGGTCTCCCGCCCGATCTGCCCGTCTGGTTTTGCCACGTGCTTTCTGTTCCTATCCACCCTCCTGCTACGTTCTCTCTCGTTTTTTTTTTCTCTCTCTCTCTCTCTCTCTCTCGTGTTCCATCATCTTCCCTCCCCCTTGTCCCTTCCTCCCATCCGTCCTCTCTTCCCCTGCGTTAGGGGCTGCGCGGAAACCACGTTGCAGGTGAGAAAGGAATACCTCTATGTTGGTATGATCGAAGACGAAGAGGGCGGGTATCGACGGCTTGGGGTATACGTGTTGAGTGGCACGCGAGCAGATAAGAGCGAACAGCCGTAAAATGAATGTTGTTGCTGTTGCTGTCGCTGCTGCTGTTCATGTTGTCGTTGTTGCTGTGGTTGCTGTTGTTTGGCGTGGTGGATTGTTGCTGTTGGTGGTGTTGTTGTAGTTGTGGTTGTGGTTGCGGTTGTAGTAAATGTTGTTGTGATGGTTGGTTGTTGTTGCTGTTGTTCTGAATTGTTGGTGTTGCTGTTGTTATTGGTGTGTGTTGTCGTTGGTGTTGTAATTGTGTGTTGTTATTTGTTGTTTGTTGTCGTCGCCCCCCCTGCAGACCCAGCCTGCGACCCACCCGCGACCCACCCGCGACCCGGCCCGCGATCCACCCGCGACCCACCCGCAACCCGGCCCACGACGCGGCCCGCGACCCACCCGCGACCCGCCCGCGACCCACCCGCGACCCAGTCCGCGACCAACCACATTGTTTAAACGAGAAAATCGGCGGCTGCGGCGAGCTCGTTGTGTAATTTGTAAGAATCAGGCTCCTGCGGCGGGCTTCTTCAGAGCCTCGCAGACTGCCGACGTCCCCAACCGCCACCTCGCTCTTGTCCTCAAGCGCGGGGTGCACGGTGTGTGTGTGTATATATATATATACACTCCTGGGGCAGGCCCAGCCTGGGACCAGGACGGGCCTGGACAGGGGCGGCGCGTATGTGGATATCTCGTGGCCATGAAAAAGGGGTCAACAACTAGCGATGCGACGCTGCTTGGGCAAGAGGCCGGGAGGGGACTTCGGTGGCACGGGGAGGGAGCGGAATGGGGAGCGAGGTAAGAGAGGCGAGGGGCGCGAAGGGGCGCGGGTGAGGAGGCCCAGGCGAGCGCGCGTCGAAAGGACCCCCCCAAAGAGAAAAGCCGGGAGTGGCACGGCGCTCGCGCGGCCGCAACCCCGCCGCGGGAAAGGCCCCCCGAAGCGAGAGAGGACCCCGAAGACAGCAGCCTCGCGGAGAAGGGCAGCGGCGCAGCGGCGGCGAAGCGTCGAGGCAGCTGGAGGAATGGACAAGGAGCGGGGATGGAGGGGGGACGGTTGGAGGGGAGGGGAAATGGGGGGTGGCCGCGCCGCGCGGGAGGGAAGAAGGGCTATGCAGGACTATGCAGGACAGGCGGCTCCAAGCTCGATGAGCACGGTGGCGCCTTTGGCGGCGAAGGGCACCTCGGCTGATCTTGATCCCATTGTACCTAGAACCACATCCCGGAAATAGTTTCGAGCACCCGGAAGAGTGTCGAAAGAGTGTCGAAACAGTGTCGGACGAGCGTCTCCCAGGGCCCGGTGTGCTCGAACTTTTTTCTGGTGCTCAAGGCTAACGTAGGTCGGAACATCCTAAACCTCGGCCAGAGGAGGCCCTGAAATGGGGAGCGTCGGCAGTCCGGCTGACGCCGGAAAAGAATTATGCTTAAGTCGGGCCTGTCCCCCTACAGGGGGATTTTCGACGAAAAAAACACGAATAGTCAAAAAATGATCCAAACATAATCTGGGCACTATTTTCTAAATTATGTTTTGGCCTTCTTGGGGCATTGTCGGGGTATTCTCTATTTCTAGTCGAAAATCCCCCTGTAGGGGGACACGCCCCGCCCGACATCAAATTACGCCCAGAATTTGGTGGTCTCCAAACCAGGTGGTGAGACACCCGGTGGTGAACCCGATTCCCCAAACAAATCATTCTGGGTCGCCACCGGGTTTGGGGACACGCGGTCGCCACGAGGTGTTGCGCTTCCTGGGCCCGCCAGCGCTCGAAAACCATTACCCGAATCGCCCCAAACTCACCACCGGGTGTTCTCACCACCACGTTTGGGGACCACCGAAGAATGGCAGGGGCCTCGCTCCCGCTTCCGGCGCTGGCGAGGGGCGCCTCCGCGCCTCGGAGGCGGGCGTGCGAGGCCCGCCTCCGAGCGCCTCTGCACCCCGCCGCGCCCTCGGCACGGGCGACGGGCGCCGCCGCGGAGGCCCGCAGGCGTCGGGCGGCGCTCGCGGCGTCGCAGGCCCGAGGGAGCCCGCGCAGGCCCCGCCCGCCAGAGGGGGACCCCACGAGGAGGGGGGACACCAAGTGGGACGAGCCACAGGGACCCCGAGCCAGGGGGGCCTGGCAACGGGGGGCATCCCGAGCCCGCCCTCACCCGGGTGCACCCCCCCCCCCCACCCCTCAGGGGAGGGACCCCCAGGGGGCCTGGGCGCTCCAGCCCCCCCGCCGCCCTCCGCCAGTCCTGCGGCTGGTCGCCGGCTCTATTTGTATCCCGCCGATACAGGCGGCGCCGACCTCCCGCCGGCTCTGCTGGCGGGGGCTCCCTGGCAATGCCGACGTGCTCATGAGAGAAGAAGGGCAAGTTGATGGAACAGAGAAAGAGAGATTGCGAATGGAGGCGGTTTGGAAGAAGGGCAGCGTGGCAGGAGGCGAGCCCGTGGAGCAGGTGAAAGACTGAATGCTTGAGGAGGGAAAGGTGGAGTGGAGGGGCCAAGGTACCAGGGAAGGCAGGGAAGGCAGGGCAAGGAGACCCGTTGCGAAAGGGAATGGTGAGCTGGATGCTGAGCAGGGTGGAAGTCAGCACGCACACACACAGCCCACGCCGTCAATGAGAACTTGGAGAGGGGGAGCTCGGGATTTCAAAACCCTTTCAAGGAATAAGACATAACCCCACGCCCACGATAATAATGTACCCCCCCCCTTAAGTCGTTAGAGTTTTTTATCGTCGACCAATAAGAGTTTGGTCGGGGGCGCGGGGGCGCGGAGGCCGAACTTCATTATCACGGGAAAAGTTCGCCATCGAGGTTACTTCCTTCTTATGTTGAGGTAACAACATCAAGCGAAGCGAACACGTTGTTTCAGGATGTCTCAAGCGAAACCAATGTCCTTCTGTCTCTTTGTAGTTCCTTCTGTCTCTCTTTCTTTCTTTCTCTGTCTCTCTCTCTCTCTCTATGTATGTCTCTCTATCTCTTTCTCCTTCCTGGCCTCTCTGTCTCTCTCTCTCTCTCTGTCTCTATATCTCTTTCTCCTCCTCCCCCCCCTGGCGCCCTGAACTTGTTTATCGCTGGGGTTGGTTATCCTGGGAAAACGAGGCACGTGAGCTACCCTACACGAGCAGATGAACATTTTAATTTTCATCAAGCGTTTACAAATTAAATACAATAAGTTTTAAACTTTGGATTTTTGCTATCTCCTTCTCCTCTCCTCCTCTTGCTCTTTCTCCTCCTCCTCCTCCCTCAAGGATGTCTCAAGCGAAATAAGCAATAATTTGAAGATGTCTCAAGCGAAACAGACAAATAGTTCGAGGATGTCTCAAGCGAAACAAGCAATTCGCTGAGGATGTCTCAACCGAGACAATCCTCAAGATATCTTTGGCTTTTTCCTCTTGATATCTCTTTATGCTGGCTCTGGCGGGCAACTTTTATTATCTCCCCGAAAACTCTGAACTTTACTATCCCTGGGGGTTTATTCTCGTGGGTTCAGGGTTATCTGCCAACGCGCTTGCATCGGCGTGCGAGGCCACCCATGATTGGAAGTGGCTGTAGATTGTGCGCTGCACGTCGTGGGTTCAGGGGTAAACGATAGCGAGTGCACCTGACCTCTCTCACGCCAGGGCCAAGGCCGTGATGACGACGAGTGCGCCCGCGCCCACCCCTGATCAGTCAACTCCACCGATGCCACCCCAGTCCCTCGATCGACCTCAACATCCCTCCCGAGCATCACATGCCCCCCCTGTGCTCACCGAGCGTCTCGTCCATGTTGGGCGAGAGAGCGTCCTGGGATGGACAGCTGCGGAAGCCCGCTGGCAACCGACACATAACGAAAGCTAGAAATGCCGAGGATACAAAGAACCCGCATTGACAGAATCTCGCCTGTAGGAAAAACGGTTTGGCCGTCTGCTCAGGCCGCCCACGGAAGCACGTACCGCAAGAAGGAATGAGATGAGGTGGAATGCAACACTGCAGAGGCCCGGGATGATTGGTCAATGTCTGCACCGTGTGAGGGTGCTCTTCGATGCGGCCCGAGTCGGATCTGTTTAAGCACCGCATGCTATCGCGATGGCTCGGCATATTCGGGGGCGACCAAGAGGGGGGCGTCCAAGAGGGGGGGGTGCAAATCATCACCGGCGGCATGTGCGCGGCCCAGGGCGAGGGCGGGGACGCAATGAAACAAGAAGAGGCGCCATGAGATCTGGCGAGATCTCATGGCCCCCGCCATGATACCCACCCACCCCAGTCATCACCCCCCTCTTTGCCGCCCCCGACAGATGCAGAGTATGGATGGCACTGCGCTCACACACCGCCCCTTGGGTTAAGTCGGGCGTGCCCCCCTACAGGGGGGTTTTCGACGAAAAATCAATAATACTCAAAAATACTCCCAAATAGTCAAAAAATACTAAAAAAATAGTCCCCCGACTATTTTTGACATATTTTTGAATCTTCCCCCTGTAGAGGGGCAGGCCCGACTTAACCCTTTGGGCCAGGAGGGGGGCGCACCGGAGAGGAGGCGGCGAGCGCGGGCGAGCGGCCGAGCGGACGCACCTCGGCCCAGCCCGCGCGCGCCAAAAGCAACCGGGGGGGTGGGGGGCCAGCGGCCTCGGCGGCCCCAGAGGCTCCCAAAAGGAGCCCCAGACAGCCCAAGAGGCCCCCAAAGAGGGCCCCCAGACGGCCTGAAGAGCCCCTCAGGCAGCACAAGAGAGCCCCAACACGGCCCAAGAGAGCACCCAGGAACCCCGAGGGGGCCACCGGAGGATCCCTACATCGGGAGCGGCCAAGAGGGGGGTGTCCAAGAGGGGGGGGTGAAAATCATGACCGGCGGCATGTGCGCGGCCCAGCGGGGGGGCCAGGGACGCAGTGAAATAAGAAGGGGCGCCATGAACTCTGGGGAAATACCATGGCCCACGCCATGATATCCACCCCCCCCTAGTCATCACCCCCCTCTTTGCCGCCCCCGACGTTCTCGGAAACGAACAGGAACTGCTGCCGGTCTTTGTGCCGATTCTTTCCGTATCTGTTTCGATGGTCCTGACCCCACTCGTCGGCGTGCCAGTGGGGGGGAGTGAGACGGAGAAGGCCTTCTCAGAAGGCGGCGGGCCTTCTAGTCATCACCCCTGTCTTTTCCGCCCCCGACTACATGGTCGGAGGGGGCCCCCCGAGGGCCCCCAGACGGGCCCGGGTCCCCACCAAAGGCGGGCGGGGCAGGGGCCCGGAGCGGGGCAGAGCGGCGGGGCGGCAGGGGGCGGAGGAGCGGGCAGGCACCCCGGGGGAGGCAGAGCAGGGGCAGGCCCCCCTGCCCCCTAGTCCCCTCCTCCCCCTCCTCCTCCTCCTCCTCCTCCTCCTCCCCCTCCTCCTCCACCTCCTCCTCCTCCTCCTCCTCCACCTCCTCCTCCTCCCCCTCCTCCTCCTCCTCCCCCTCCTCCTCCTCCTCCTCCTCCTCCTCCTCCTCCTCCTCCTCCTCCTCCTCCTCCTACTCTTAAAGTCGGGCCTGTCCCTCTTCGGGAGGAATCTTCAAAGATAGCCAAAACAAAAATCGTCGGGGGGCGCTGTCTTGCATTCTTGCTGGCCATTTTGGAACATGTTTGGGGTAGGTTTGAGTTTTCGCCCAAAATCGGCCTGTGGGGGGACAGGCCCCGACTTAACCCTACTCCCCTCCCTCCCTCCTCCCCTGCCGTCGTCCGTCGTCCCCGTCCTCGCCGTCGCCGTTCGTCGTTGCCGTCGTGTCGTCGGCTGCCGTTCAGCGCCCGCATGGCGCCACCCAGCCCACTTCGGCACACCCCTCACACGTTTCGTGAGCCACAGGGAGCTCCCCAGTGGCAGCGCCCGCATGGTGTCACCCCGCGGAATTTCGACACATTCGGGACATGTTTCGTGACCCACATGGAGCCCCACCGAATGCCCAAGAGGCAGCTCCCGCATGGCGTCACCAAGTCCAATTTCGGCACACCCCTCACACGTGTCGTGAGCCACAGGGAGCCCACCAGAGGGCCCAGTGGCAGCGCTCGCATGGCGTCACCCAGCCCACTTTGGCACACCCTCACACATTTCGTGAGCCAAAGGGAGCTCCACCGAAGCCCCAGTGGCAGCGCCCGCGTGGCGTCACCCGGACCACTTCGGCACACCCCGCACACGTGCCGTGAGCCACAGGGAGCTCCACCGAAAGCCCCATTGCCAGCGCCCGCATGGCGACACCCTGCCCATTTCGGCACACCCCTCACACGTGTCGTGAGCCACAGGGAGCTCCACCGAAAGCCCCATTGCCAGCGCCCGCATGGCGACACCCAGCCCACCTGGGCACACCCTCACACATTTCGTGAGCCAAAGGGAGCTCCACCGAAGGCCCCAGTGGCAGCGCCCGCGTGGCGTCACCCCGCAGAATTTCGACACATTCGGGACATGCTTCGTGACCCACGTGGAGCTGACCCACATGGAGCTCCACCGGAAGCCCCAGTGGCAGCGACCGCATGGCGTCACCCCGCCCATTGCGGCAAACGCCTCGCAAGTGCCGTGACCCACAGGGAGCTCATTTCGACACCCCTCACACGTGTCGTGAGCAACAGGGAGCTACACCGAAAGCCCAAGTGGCAGCGCCCGCATGGCGTCACCCCGCCCATGCCAGCACACCTCTCACCAGTGTCGTGACCCACAGGGAGCTCCACCGAATGCCCCAGTGGCAGCGCCCGCATGTCGTCACCTCGCACACCCTCACACGCGTCGTGACTCACAGGGAGCTCCGCCGAAGACCCCAGTGGCAGCGCCCGCATGGCGTCACCCCGCCCAATTCGACACGCCCCTCACAGGCTTCATGGTTCCACAGTGGGCTTCACCGAAAGCGCCAATGGCAGCGCCCGCATGGCGTCACCCCGCCCATTCCAGCACACCCCTCACATGCTTCGTGACCCCACAGGGAGCCCCACCGAAGGCCCCGGTGACAGCGCCCGCATGTCTCCACCCCGCCCATACCGGCACACGCCCGCACGTTTCACCACTGTACAGCGAGCCTCACCGAAGATCCCAGTGGCAGCGCCCGCATGGCGTAACCTTCACATTTCAGCACACCCCTGACAAGTTTCGTGACCCCACAAGGAGCCCCACCGAAGGCTCCAGTGGCAGCTCCCGCATTGCGTCATCCCGCCCATGTCGACACACTCGTCGCACACTCCGTCACCCCACCCTTGTTCCACCTGCCTTGCGGTACTCGCACTTGCATATGCTCGGGTCCTTCGCCAGGATAGTCTTCCTCCCACACCTCCGAAACGCCTGAGCCTGGATGGACGCTCCTGAGGCGCCGAGTTCTTCGCCGCGACAACGCATCATCCAGATCTAGGGCTAGACTTTCTGGCTACGCGAGCAGCCCCAGAAGGACGTTATAGCACCGTTCCAACCTCTCCTTCTTTTTCCTGCTGTCCTTTCGAGGGTAGCTGACCCCGCGCAAGTGTACAACTGGACATGCACTGCAAGCGCACAGATCCTCCAACGTGTCTGACAATGAGTATCCCGCAAGGCCGTTCCTTTTTCTCAATCATTGAGAAAAAGGAACGGCCTTGGGAATAGAATTCCCGGTGGACGTTATCGGTCTCTCGCCCCCCCACATGACTAACCAGACGCATCAGCAACTGGATCTTACGCCTTGGCCCCACCACGACCACACCCTCCAATGATGCGGCGCTCCACAGGGCCGTGGAGTTTCTTCTGACACCGAAGCGTCTGAACCCGAGATAGGCCACGGGCGGAGAGGGCAACTTCCGAGCATATACCAAACATGTCTGTTACCATAGGCTTTTCTTTCTGTTGGACGTCCGCTGGCACCACAAAGCGCGCTTGGTCAAAGGGCTACGTCGAAGGAGGCAGAACAAGATGAGGAGGACAATAAGGGACACAAAGGAATAAAACGATGGGTGCACATCCAGCCCCATTGGCGGGGTACTTCTTTGTACCTTCGCCCGCTTACTGCTCGCAAGCTTCACTCGGTAACCCGTATGTTTACCAAAAGGTTGGCCATCGCTCTTCGCAGCTCTGGTGACAGAAGATGCATAGCGGCAGTGAGCAGGGGACAGCCCATTGTCAGCAAAGATGTGCCGCTGCAGCTCCTCAACATGATGCTGGGCTTCGCTCTCTGTCTAATTTCATCAGTCTTTTGATTCCGTCGATGATGTCCCTTCGCCGGCAGCGTCTGAGCATGTCGGGCAGAACCACTTCCTCGATGCATCACGCCTAGTCTCCACGAGGCACTCTCGATGAGAACGCCAGTATGAGAACATCTTGAACCATCCGTTGGGCACCTCCGGCCGCAACCGTAACGACGATGACACTAGGAAGTCTGATATCCCAATCGCCGCATTCGAGCTCGCCACCACATGCCTCGCGTTTCTCCAAGCGGGATATTGGAGGGTGTGCAACGTCGTCGTCGAACATATTTGCGGTAGCAATGAAAAAGGCCCCACACGTATTGCTCATCTGAACATGCAAATGGGGGTATGCATAAACGCCCTCGTCCATTTGTGGCAGCACTTCCAGCAAATAACGCTCACGCAAATACACTCAGCATACTGCTGCACACATCGCGGGCATATATATATAGAGAGAGAGAGATTCCAATCGCATTCGTTGCAACTCAATGCCGGATATCTCGTTGTCATGTCTACTCGGTCATTTCAATCGAATCCAACGGCGTGACTTGACCCGGCCGTGTGTCAGATCTGGGCGTTTCTTCTAAACTTCGCCGCCTCGGAACCTCGCAGAAATG